GCTTGATGTAGATGCTTTCGACCCGTTCTCCATAACAGTGCCTGCACGTACTGCAAAATTACCCAGATGTTGCTATACTGAGGTAGTCAAGATGAACTTGTGCAGAAATTAATTTTAATTTCTTAGGTTCACAGGTCCATATCAGGATTTCTACATTATAACTCCTATATCGTACCTTACACTTGGTTTTTTTTTCCAGACCACCTAGCGTAGTAGACGAATATATACTTTGTCTTTATTTTCTTCCCACAACTCATGTTATGAATTGAAAAGAATCAAATAATACCTTTTTTGTTTCCAAGACAATGCCAAGCCATAGTGTATATGCGTATGACATATTTGTAATTGTATTGTTAAACATAGGACTGAAGTGTCTAGTCTGCTGAGTCATAAAGTATCATATATATTTACTAAATAGAAACTGACTGAAAATATCAGTTCAATCTATAAGAGTTTACACTGGCTGGCTTTATCAACGTGACCTTTGTATTTAAAAAGCATTCAATAGATGTTTGTTTTGTATTTTTTCTTTTGTGAAACACTACTCTTCAAGTTCAGTCTGATGATAAATAAAAACGAGATATATATTTACCACAGGTAACTAGTACAAGGTGACATTCATCATTAATCAGAGCTGCGGTATTTAAGATGGAAATAATGTAAAAGTTTAGATTTTCCTTCATTAAACTCTGTCCCCTTTAATAATTGGATAAAACTAAGGTTAATGAAAAGTGAAGAATGACAGGGAGTAGAGATATTGAAGTTTTAAAAAAAACCTGTAATAGACTGCAGCAATTCAACAGGGAGTAGATATGTTAAAACAAAACTCTAAGAGACAGCGACAATTTTTATAAAGTTAGTTATATTGTTTATCAATAAAAAGATATTTAGAAAAATAACTAACTGGAAAAAAAACTATATAATCTGTATAATCTATCATATTACTTTTAAATAAAAATATATATATATTGCAAATTACACTTGGAAATAATTTTAATGGCCAGTAACGTGCTGCTTCTATGAGGAAAATACTAAATTATATTAATTACTCATTATCATAACTTCCCTAACAATGAGCGAAATAGTACTTACAACTCTTTTTCGAAATGCATGAGCATAAACATTTTCATTTTTCATGAAACTTTGATTAATTATGGCAATCAACGTGATGTTTAAATATCCCGAGGTCAAAAGACACTCCCCCCTCTCCCGAACTACCACTCACAGAACCACCACAACCACCAACACCATCACCACCAACAAAAAAATAACAATTAAAATTATGATTTCAATTTTATCTTGAGTAAAATATTGAAGTGTTTCGAAGACAGAGAAGCATGTGTAATTAACTTAATATTTGATTTGCTCCTGTCATAATCTTAGAGGTGTTGAAATGTTCATTATTAGTTTGATATAGTTCCTGCAGTTATATCTATTATTATTATTATTATTATTATTATTATCATATTTTTTTCTACAATTCTAGAAATTAAAAATATACCTGATGAGAGATTTCAATCTTTATTAGATACTGTATCACATGTCATTATATGTTTGATTTCGGTTTCAGTTAGTTTCATAACAAAATGATATAAAATCTATTATAATAGAAAAACAATGACAAGAAAACAATGACAAGAATTACTGTTAGCGACAATAGCTAAGAATACGAAAGACAAATTTTACACTGAGCAGTACATATAAAATATTTTTTTCTCTTAAAAGTCTCCCAGATTTTCTAAATTATTACTTGCATGCTTGAAAAAAATCAGAAATTATAATTACTTTGAAACTTTGTGCATAATTTTAAAGATTAATACGTTGTTTAACATTTCCCCTTTCTGTCACATTCCGACCCTCTTTCCTTTTAATTAGTAAAATAATGTATAACACAGTTGAACGTTTCATGACGCATATATATTTATGTACCTTTCTCTTTTAAAATAAACTTCGTCATTTATTTTTTTTTCTTTTTGTACAGAATAAATCAGATTCTTATTATTTGAATTATTCTATAAATAGCTTTTTGTATGGTTGACTAAGATTACATCAAGAATCTTGGGCTTTAAATACTAGATTCCTCTGTAATCGTGAACAGTTTTCATCGGGTTTTAAGGTTTTACAAAGGTATATTCACAATAGGTATGTGTTTTTTTTTAATTTTTTATCTATACTCTGAATTGAGAAAAAAGAGTTCGAAGACTTAGAAGACTTACATGTATTGTGAATGCATTTTGCAGACAACTTTAAAGGTAAGGTTTGTTATACTTTTCTCAATGGTGGGAGCATTTCAGAAATGAAGTACAACAAAATGGTCAGGGATTATAGGATATAATCTGAAGATGACCAAACATTTCTTCAAAATTCAAAAAATAAATAAATAGATTGGAAGTTATCGCAGTTTTACTGAATTGGTATGGAATGGCACTCAGAGACGACCTAAAGATGACATTTAAACAGATGGGAAAAAAAATCCACTGATCGGAATAAAAAAAAAACATAATGTACATTGTTGATCTGTGATTTTGGTGGTTTTACATTTTCATATAAGTTTATAAATGACCCAGCAGGCACACACCATTGAATAAACATTGAGTCAACGTTGATTATCTATGTGAGTCAACAATTATTTCATTTAAGATTTTGAAGATTGAGTTCAATATTGAAAAGTAAGCGTCGATTCAATGTTAAAAAGCATTGATGTGTAGACATCGAATTAAAGTTGATTCAACTTTTTATTAATTTCTGGGGGAGGTGGGTGGATAATATCATTACTTGGAAATTAGAATTAAAATTAGAATTTTAATTGTTTTATTAACTAAGATTGTTCATATTCATATAAATGAAAACATATAAAAGAATTTAGATTGTAAACTTTTCAACTAAATCCCCTACTAATAGATCAGCAGCAATAGATTACATGTACATACGAGGGGTTATCAAAAAGTTCATGGACTGAGGCGATAAAATAAGTACTATGTAGTCTCTGCTTTCAAAATTTATAAGGAACATAAAACAACAAAAAATAAAGAAATGTTGAAATATTTAGCTTGATACGTTCATTATTTCCCAAATTATTATGAAATAAAAACGGCAAAATATGATCACTCGGCGCTGTCGCCGTTTAGTTTCATGACGTCCGATAACGTCATTGTTTTTTAATGTCTGATTCTTCTTCCTCATACACTTATCTTGATGGGATTCCCTGGAGCTGAGTAAGGACTTAAACACGTCTTGTTTATATGACTTTACAATGTCATGAACAGCTGCTTTCAATGCATATAATATTGTAAATGGATTTATACATAGGGGGAGATCCTCGTTTGATTATGCAAGCATATTTTGATTTTTGGAGTTCAATATTTAGCACACATGATCAACGTCGTTTTTTGACGTGATTGACTTTTCACACCTTGACTGCAAATCGACATTAACTGTTCATCCCTTTTCTCTTTGAATTTATTTTGGCATTAAAAACATATACTCTGGATGCGTTTTATTTCTCTACAGCCAGTTTAAACATTTCCTAGGCCTATACCTGTGTTTTTTTTTTTTTTTTTTTTTTTTTTTTTTTTTTTTTTTTTTTTTTCCAGGGAAAAAACTTTATAGAATGTTGTAAAGAAACCCCTCCCCCATTTTGACGTCATTTTCAAGCCCTTAATTGTTTGGCACTCCATACAAAATTTACGATAAATTTCATAGAACTTACAGAATGAGGTAAAAATTGCATATTTTACGGAACAATAGTGTCCCATCACACACTTGAATTAACGGGAGTTTTGGATGTCAAATGTTCATAACAAAGGAGTTTTTCTCAGTATCACTCAGGTCGAAAAAAAACATCATATTCGAGGTTGTGCCGCCTAGACATACCATTGCTTACAAAAACATTAATTATTTATTAAAAAATAAAATTTATGATTTGTGGTTTAGTCTACAAATAGAAAAGATGATGCTAACTAAATATTTTAAAATTCATTGATGTACCTAAAGCGGTTTTAATTTTTTGGTGCTAGTCAACAAATTTTTTGATACTCCCTCGTATAAACATATGCTTTATAAATTTATCACAGTACAAAAATCGAATAATTTTACAAAAGTTTGCAGTCTTACATGTGATCAATATATAGTCTTATGCATAAAAATATATAACAACATGACAAATGGTTCTTCAGGAAACATTTTTAATTAAATCTTGTCATTGGACTACTGGGAGTGATGTTGGACTTTGGGGTGGTATTGGACTTATGTGGGTGTTGTTGGACTCCTGAGGGGAGTACTGCACTTATTGGGGTCGTGTTTGGACTCCTGTTAGTAGCGCTTGACTGATGGGGTGATGTTGGTCTCATGCTTAGTATCCTTTCCTGGATTGTGCTGGTCTTCTGAATCGACATAGTGATGCAATTTTCTGTTGATTACCCAATGTCATGTAAAATTTGCCTATTTTGCAAATTGTTAGGAATTATTAGGAAAAACTTTCAACAAACATTTTTGTCTTATATTGATCATTTCTGACTTCATTTACAACCTTTGACTATATTTAAATGAGAAAAAATATTAATAAATATCCCAGATACATGTATAAATACTTCTACAAAGTAAAACCGCCGAAATATTGCTGAAACATTGTCGACTCGGCGTACAACAACAATAATCAATCATTCTACAAAGTAAAAAAAAAAAATTACTTAATCACGTATGATAATGCTGAACCATGGGATATATACCATTTAGAACCAAATAAAATAATGGAAAAGCTATAAAGACCATGATTTTTTTTTTTTTTTTTTTTTTTTTTTTTTTAATACAAATCAAATTATTAAGAAATACAACCTAGCAAGAATGACCTATCAAATCTTTCATAGTTAATGCCCTTTGCACGAAAAACTTTATAGAATAAAAGATCGGCATAGTTATGTCACGTATGTGTTTGTGTGTTATTCGCTTAGATGCACTAAAGTTAACCAATTTTATCTTGTAGAAAAAATATACACTTCTCGTGTATTTAAAGAGATTGGGAGATAGATTACTTGATTGTTTACATCTTGTTTGTACCAAACCCTGGGCCAGGGTTAAAAAGAATCCAGAAACATCACCTTCGCAAAGATGATGTCAGGTTACAGATGTCGCTTGCTCATCATTGCCCTTTTAAGTATGCAAGCCAATCATCTAAATTCTGTGGGATCAAAAGTTTCAAGAGTACAAATGAGATTCACAAAAGTAAGTGTTGGAACAAAATTAACATCCTTATGGTAATTATTACAACTTTTTATGAAAAAAAAAAAATTAAAATTATTATTTATATAGTAGATTATTACAATAAAATCCTATTTTTAGGAAGATGTTTGCAAGGAAGCTCTTAAAAAAGTCAACCCTGTTGAAAGTTGTCCATCGGATAAAATATCTATTCAAGAAAGGTCAAGGATTTTAAATTGTAAAGATATTCGTGATTCTTGCTCCAGTGAAGAATTAGTGTTTCATTGTGTATCTTCTGGCGACAAAATTGTGGAAGTTTGTGCTCCAAGATATTATCTTGATGGTATATTTTTAACCCTCGTATTGCTTTCTGTAACATCTTTAATGATAATGTCGGATCATGTAAATTGCATTATATCTCTGATCACAAAAGTATATATATTGTTTTGCTTTAATAGTTCCCAAAAAATACAGTTGGTCAACAAAGCATATATTAAGTGTTTGTTATGCCTTTGTAAAATAAAATCATTTGTAGGAAAATACTGTTTTAAGTTCGACGAGGAAACAGGGCGCGTTATACCAGACTATCAAGTTTTTTGTCAAGAATGCCCATTTCAGCATTACTCAAACGACTCTGTAACATGTAAGTATTTTAGATGACTTTGCAAAAACACTGAAGCAAAGTTTTTAGCAACAATTCAACATTGTATTATTTCTAGGGTACATTTAAAGATAAGACATGTGTATGTGTTTTTTTCTCTTTTGCAGATACTACTTGTTCCAAGAGCATACGCAGGTGAGTTAAGGCTAGGTTAGGCATTTCTATGCAAATAAACTAATTAAAATGCCTAAGGACTATATCTATCATACAGAGAAAGTTAAAACTCATTGTCTGATACATACTTGGTACTCACGATATGAGATAGCCAGTACGCATTATGATGTCATATTATGACGTCATTGTTCTTTACTACACAAGATTATAATGGACATCAACAAAAATGCTTCGGCGCAAGGGCATGCTCTATTTTATTTAACTGAAACAAAGTAAATTTAGAAGCAAAATATTCCAACGTTTGCTGATATTGCTGCACAAATATCAACAGCTCAGTTGTATAATTTCTATTTGTAAAGTTTTAAGTTGAATCAGGGTAAAAATGTACAGTCCGGTACAAGTTTCCTCAAATTCCGATCAAATGAGAAAATGCCTAGGATTTGTGCAGCAATTTTATTAATCTACAGAATATTCTTCTTCGCATTATACAATTTTTATGTAAAAATAAATCGGGTAATCCCTTGCGCCGAAGCTGTTTTGTTGATGTGTTATATTACCACCAGAAGGTAAGATCAATGACGTCATAATATGACGTCATAATGTGTACTGGCTATAACATATCGTGGGTACTAAGTATGCATAAGAAAATAAATCAAAACATTCTTTGAATAATAAATTTACCTCTTACACGTTTTTATTAGCTCATTTGCATAGAAACGCCTATACCTAGCCTTAACTCACATGCGTACAGAAATTGTCTGCTTTTCAGAGTATGAAATCGACAGATCAACCTTTGTTAAAATTCACGCAGTCGACACCTGGGTCAAAAGTAGGCTTGGGGTAAAGCTAAATATTCCAATAATGCATCACAACGTATTTTCTGCTATCGGGAAATGCATGTTAACTCCAAAAAGGAACCCAAATTTTGGCCACTTCATTGAGCCACCACAGGCTATTACGACAGCCGTTTCGTAAAATGTCCGTCATTCAAGCATTTACGGACATACTTCTCTAAATCTGTATAAGCTACCGGATAACAAAAATAGAATTATATCTGTATATGTATAGAAAACTTTTAGCACTCTTGAGCTTAAGGCTCAAACGTGTTAATTTGTCTCTTGTTTTTCTTTGTGGTCGTCGTTGTTGTAGTTTTAAACTTTTCAAATTTGAATTGTCTTCTCCCGAACTGGTACATACTTTAACGAATTTACGAGTCGTCGGAAAGAGTTCTGACGCTATTTTTGGAGAAAAAAAGAATATAAAGAAAACAGTTTATCTGTGCCTTTTCTCCGAAAGTGTAAATGACTGCGATTCTGGATAGAGTAGGTACTCCATGTAATTCAGAGTTTGATACCATGTTATTATTATACTAGGAGTTAAATAAATATTTCCAAAACAAGTGTTTCGGGGGTTGCTCATACCCCCGTAGGTCAAGGGTTGACATCAGATGAGACCTGAAGGGGATGGATTTTGGTGGTCTTAGAATGTACCACCCATATTTCTCTGCACAGAATTTAGCAATCTACTGGTTTCACTATTGAGAACTTCAGAGTGTTATAAAATTACATAGTATGAAAAAGTATTCAAAACTCCATTGTCGTTTCCTTTCCTCAAACTCGATGTCAATTTAGTCTGCCCATTTTAAAACTAAAATTTTTCCACATATTTAATTTGAGTTTTATTGGAGTAGATATTTGAATTGAATTTGAATACCGATTGTTTTTTATACGAGCGTACATCATAAATTTGTTTAAATGTTAAAGGGAACGACATTTTTTTTAACATGATCAGGGGTGGGGATGGCAACAGTCTAATGAGGCCTAATGGAAGCTATTACCTGTATAGTATTTGGAAGAAATGAATTATCTACGGGATATTGTGGAACTTTTCATTTTTCCTTAGAGGCAATTTTCTTTCCCTTTATAGGCGCCACCTTGTCGTATCATAAGAGCCATTACCGTCTATACAATGGATGATAATAGTAAATGTTTTACCCTTGGATTTTCGGATTTAACAATGTAACTTTTTTTACAATAAAAATGCCGCATAATTATCTGATATTACCATAACATACCTCTGTGATTTGCATTTTGTACATCATCATTATGCAGATATTTTAATTTACAGTTTATATTTCAGTAACCTATTTCATTCAAAAATTACTAACATAGTAACAGGAACATCTTTAATGTAGATGCATGTGTACCATTTTCTTTTTCATTTTTTTTTTAATATACCTAAATATATTGTTCTGAATTTTATTTTACAGTTCATTGGGTTTTAGTGTGCTTATGATTGGTATAGCAATATCCATCATTCTTGGTGTTGTTTGCATTTCTATTGCTGTTGGGTTAGACGTCGGTAAAGGTATGGTTTAGAATTTATAGGAAGTAAATATAAAACACATTTATGTTTACATATATAGATTGTTTTGGTTTACTTTCTACTCTTTTAGGTATTCCTAACACTACCAAAGTGTCAATGAAGGGCTTTGACAAATGGTAAGATCCTAATAAGAAAATGCAGAGTTACCAAGTTTTAAAGTTAGTTTTTACTGGAATTGTTTTTGTAAAAATGCATATACTGTTTTTCTTTTTAATTCCTACTACCTTTTTATAGTCAGTCATACAGCATTGTTGTGAATCTTTGAATGGAAAAACAAAATCTGTGCAGTCAAACGTATTTTTTTTTACATATATGAGTTTGACTCCAATTGTAATTTTCAAGACCTTTAATAAAAGTTGCCTGTACTGTGTGTTCCTATTTTTTTCTCTACTAAGTCTACCCTGATTGCCTATATCCATTTATACTATTGTTATAAGGATTTGTAAAGATGCATCAGGATTTTTTTCTTCTAAATAGATTTAATTTTCTATATTTCAATCCATATGCTGACACAGCTGAAAAATGAAACTGATTTTTAAAAAATTGAGATAACTTGTTTGAAACTTTTACCCTTAGAAAGTAACAGTTTCCCGTTTATAAAACATCCTTTCTACAAACTGAATTACATGTATTTTGAAAATGTGCACCAAAAACGAGAGACGCAGCTCGGATTCTACGTTATTGAGTTAATCAGTCTATTGGTTAAAAAAAGTATTTTTTTTCTCTGTTTTTTTTTTTAAAGTGTCCAGTTATTTGTTGCTAAAGTCGAATTCTTCAATCGTTGCCACCGTCACGGTAGCTCAGTCGGTAAAGCCCTCGCTCCGTGATCGGAAGGTCGTGTATTCGAATCACGACTGCGACTGACCTAAGTCGATATTTGATACTTAGCAACTGTTAGCAACTGTTCCTTCGCCAAGCGCTCGACACTTGAAGGTGAAAATTGAGGGTCCCTCACAACTCGATGGCCCTGAATGCCAAGTTAAGGTTCTAAATTTGAAGCCCTTCACCGGTATAAGGTGACATCTCTATATGAGTGAAAAATTATCGAACGGGACGTAAAGCAACATACAGTCAATCAATCAATCCTTGCACGTGGCAGTGTATGGCATGTAACTCTTGACCTTCTGATCCATAGACTGTCACACAAACTAATGAGATAAATGAAAAATGTTGAGACGTGATAAAGTGCCTCTTTGCATCTAGAACACTCTTCTAAATTTGAGAATTACACAATAGGAACAATTAGAATGTGCACTATTAGTCATTTTCAGTTAATGAAACGATAACATATTTTTAAATGTAATTAATTTTTGTAATTAATGTAAAGAAAGTCTTGTAAACCAGAATGATATGAAGGAAATTTTTTTTATGAAATGCGCTATTTAAAATTTCCGTATAAGAGGTCTCAAACGTTGGACCAGTAAACAAGTCCGCATGAAAATAGTTCATAGTACAAAATTATACCCCATATTTGTTTTTTTTTTTTTTTTTAATTATTGTTATTATTATTTATTTCCTTTAGAATAAAATATTGCGTTCATATTAACCAGTATTAATGTTATCATGGGTTTTTTGTTTTTTTTCAGTGAGGCCAAAGAAGCGTAAATTCAGTGGTCACCAACATTTTGTAAATTTTTAAAGAACAAATGTCAGAAGCTAGGAAGTGGCCAATGGTTCCGTGACAATCAAAAAAAAAATTCTTTGCTTGTGCTTCTCGAGTACAAAAGGAAATAAAAATAGAACAAAAATAGATTTTCAGGTCATCGCCAAGTGTGATGTAGGTAAATTACGAATTGTTTTGCATAGATGGTTTAGAAAATACACTCTTATATGATTTATTATGATTATTGTTATTTTCATTGTATTATTTTTGACGATAAAAATTCTATGTACAATTTAAACAGTTTAAATGTGCAATCTTCCCTGTACCTTAATGATTAATACATTATATTCATATATTGTTATAAACTTAACTCCAGGCCTCCTATATTTATGAATAAAGTTTCATTGTTCTGGTACATACTTTTTATGCTAAAAGCGTGTTTATTGTTTCAAAAACTTCACCATGTACATGTATTATTTGATTTGCACACATTCTTTGATAATCTTTAAGTAAGGATTGTCACTTGTGGCACTAGTTCTATGATTTGTTTTCTTTCAGTGTATCTTGTATAATAAACTACTGATATAGCAGAACTCAAAATAAAGATTAATATAGGGGATCAGTATATGTACTATGGAACAACAGAACTAATAGTATTTTTTTATGTGTTCGTTTAATTTCAATCATATTTATTGTAATAAAGCTGAAATATGTTATTTCACAACATGCACCTAAATATTGGGACCGTTGTGCACTAATATAATATTTAGAATATTAAATAGTGAAATACCCAAAATAATGTGTCTTCACAGAGAGCTTTTTATGAGTTGATTGCAATTGGTTAGATCTATTTGGCAACGTCAAAATTGAAATAAAAGTTAGGGTCAGCGATATGGATTTTGAGATTTATAGGCCAAATAAAGCAAATTTCGAATTAAAAATAACAACGTTAATTTGATATTCTATCCATAGTTTTACTTGAGTATAAATATTTATGGTTTATGTTCTATCAAATTGAATTAAACAAGTCCGTACAATGAGTGTTAACAGTTTTTCTTAATAACCTTCCACCTCAGGGAATAGTTTCTTATAAAGTTTGATATTGAAGGTTGTACAATTTGCTTTGCTGGATTCAAATATGTTTCAAAAAAATGAAATCATGAGTGATAATTTTGATGTTGTAGATTCTGACAAAACTTTCCTCAAAGAACTTATATAAATAAAATCCCCTTGGCTCTCAACAGATTGCAAAAAAAGGGGGGGGGGGGCTTTAACTTCTCTTAACCTCTAGCCCCTTTGTGATGCAGTGAATTCCTACATGTATTGATCTTGAGTAGTTTTTATTTAAAAAAAAATGTGGAAAAAAGTTGGAACTCAACTTGGATCCCCTCTACTCCTCCGAAATACGATTTTCTTTCTCCAGATTTCTTAGTCATTTTACCTTTTTGTGTTTTTCAAACATTTTTCAATAAGTTGTCGAATATTTTCTCTGCCTGCACAACCCCTCCCCCTTTCCACCCACACCAACTTTTATAAACAATGCTACGTTCCTAAATTAAGAATAAATGAATTAATTATTTTAGATAATAACGACTTGAGTTATTTCACATACAGTTTCATAGCCCTTAAAATTATTTACTTCTCATGATAAACTCTCAAAACACTACATCTTCTGTCTATTTTGCTAATTGGACAGTCCACAGATAAACATGTTATAGTTTATGCATGTACATCTATATGTATATTAAAAATTACACTTTTTGAGTTTGTCTTTAGAAGATTCATTTCTTCGTTACATTGTTTATAAAATTAATGTGGCTCATCCGAATTCGAGGCTCTAAGCTTTTTTGATCACTTTTCTATCGACGGGTGAGCATCAAAATGAGAGCTACTGAATTAAATTGCATGTTTATATATTTATATACTTTAATAAAGATAATACTTTGAAAAAAATTAATTTGTGTGTAGATTTTTTTTATCCTCTCTATTGATCAACGACGCAAATGATTATATTCAGATGTAATTTAATTCCAGTCATGTATTTTGTTTATGAAATGTGAAGAAAGCTTCAGCTTTCTATACAATAACTTCATATTCATCCTTTTATTGAACAGTATCATTTTATTACCGGTTGGAGCTGATCTTCCATTTCTGGTACATGTAACTAATCAAATGATAACTCAAGGATTTGAAATATTGAAATATTAATTAAATTTGCATATAAGGCATTGTGCTAGAAAAGTGGAAATATAAGCATTTTAAAATTATTGTTTGAAGATGTATACTCATAACTGTAATGTTGTGTGAAACCAAAAATTTCAGAACCCGATAACGCATTTAACTAAGAACAAAATAAATTTAATGTTCTCAAAAAAAAAAAAAAAGTTTTGAAACTGGCTTAAATATTAGTTGAGTATATGACAAAAAATATAGCATGAAGAAGCACCATTCTGGAAATATGACGTCATTTATTGAATGCATTTCTCTATTTTAAACAGAAATCGCCTCAAAGTGACACATTTCATGGGTTATTTTCCTTAATAGTGTCCCAACCCTCGCCCAGTTTAATTTTTGGATATGTTGTGTAAAATTCCTATAAAATCACATATCTCGAAATTTTTGCGGGCGATGCCTGTGGAAAATATTATCTAAAAGAAAATTCCATTTAAAATTGGTGTCTTCTCTAACGTTTGGAGAAAATACGGGAAAATGCACACGTTTATAACGTCACAATTAACGATTAGAATGTCATGTGAGAGAAATGATTTGTATAATCTATCTGCATTAAATTTCAATGATTCAGAAAACATGAGTTTTAATTTTTAACATCAGTTTATTTATTTATTTATTTATTTTTTTAGAAAAACACAGGACAAGATTTGTATTGAAACCATGCCTTGTTCTTGGCACATATTGTTGCAGTTATAAGAGTATATATTTCCACAAAAAAAAGGAAATATTTCAATGCTGAAATATATTACCACATTTATTTGTGTAATTATCGGTTTTCTTTCTTCTATCAACAGTTAGATCGTTAATTAGATGCGTATTGATAGTTTATAAATTCTTTCTAGAAACATTTCTGTGACAAGGTACATGTAGAGTGTAAAAAAAAAAAAAAAAAAAAAAAAAAAAAAAAAAAAAAAACACGGCACAATGGTTTTAAAACCGATGGAAGTGCATGTATAAATTAAATTATCCTACGTATGAAAAATATGTGAGACTGACCTCCTTCACATGGTCCTTAAAGTTTATCAACTCGGCACTATTAATATTTCTTTACTTTTGCTCGATTTTAATTACGTACCTGAAATCGAAACAATTCCATATAAAATAAAGTTTTGTTTTTCTTTAAATCAAAATGACGCTATCCATAGGTACATGATGTATGTAATTTCGCAAGATACAATTACATGGCACGGGTTTCCTATTACTCGGTAGCTGAGTATGTTGGGCAGTTTTGTAATTTTTTTAAAAAAGTTTTTAAAAGTTTTTTTTTCTAATTTTCTAAGTATATCTTACAACAATTATTTAAATACGTCAGTGATTTCTGTGTGTTAATTTATATATCTATACAAAGTGATCAAGATATGCATGAAGATGATCTACATGTACACTTCCTTGATTTCATTGAAAAAATAAATGAAGCATCAGTTTAATGCTGTATATTTTGTCTTTTTTCAGTTGAAGAATACCAGTTATCTGTTGTTTTATTTGTTTTGGGCTTTTCCTACTTTCGGATTTTGGTATTGTTCGTGTTGTTTGCTTTTTGAATGACGTGGATCTATTTATCGAACATCAACTAGTAATTCATATTGCTGTAAAGAAAGACCCAATTCACAAGTACCAATCAAAAAAGAATCATAATTGCATGGTATGTTAAACGGGATTTGAACATGAAAAATGTTTTAAATGAAAAAAAAAAAAAACTTAAGGAGGGATTATATTCTTCTCGTATTTATCGTATTTGAAAATTTGTGAAATTATCACTGATTGAAGAAGACAATATCACTAAGTGATGAAATAAAATACATTATATTTGACCGTTTAATTGACAGGTCAAGGTCATGTCAAGATCATTATATTTTCCTTGTCATTAAGATTAAAAAAAATATTGTTGCTAAACATGAAAGGCCATTCCAAGTTTTTTTGTACGTTTAGCGTCCGCGCGCGCCTTGGTTTTTGAACCCAATATCAGAAAAAAAAAAAAAAAACAAACAAACAAACAAACAAAAACAAACAAAAACAGGAGACCACCCGAAATTGATTATTCTAGTCGAAATCTTTGAATTCTATCATTTCCTGTAATGATCTGTCTACAAGTTTTAATATTTGGTATATTTGAATCATTTAGTACCTTGATTTTCTAGAAAGGAGAAAAATATTTTTTTTTTTTAAATCAAATCATTTAATTGACATAACTTTTATTACTATGAAGTCTATACAACAAATGGTTCACCACATGATAATATCAAATTGAAACAAGTTTGGCTTTCCAGAAAGCCTGAAATGTCATCTCTTTGGCGTCATTAATGTCACAGAATAAACAGTGGAACGTGACATTTTTTCACAGCTGAATGAATCGCTTTTGAGGGGGGGGGGGGGGGTAGTCCAAAAAAATTACAGCTTGCTTGAACAATCTTTGACTAGGAAAAAAAGGAGGGTGTCCAAACTCAAAAATCTCATTTCAATTAAAAGTGTGGGGAAAAGGGGGGAGGGCTTTCAGTTAGCAATTGAAACAGGAACAGATTGTTTAAATAAATTGGGATGGTGTGGCCCTACTGATGACATGTGCCTGTAATATTTAACATGTGTGAAAATATTTTCAATTCATTTCAAATATTGTTAACGTTTGGTACAATGTATTAAAAAAAAAGTAACAACTAAGCAGTATTCGTAAAATTTGTAAACAATTTTTACACAAGCAGATGTATAAAACCTTAGCGTTCCTTTTGGTTTTATTTCAGAGCAGCTTACTCTGACAGTAGCCAAGAAGTTTTAAAGCGCTAACTTAAATTAGTCCGGCCCTCAACTGATTTCCAAAGATTTTCCTTAGTCCCGTTCTCCTAAGTGACTTGGCCATCGAGTCACTTGGGATATAAAGGTGAAAATGAGCTACTCTTACATCAAAACCTTCTATTGTCCAGATTTAACTTTTAACGCTTAATTTACATAGGTACATGTACACGCTACTGAAAAAAAATAGCATAGGAAAGTGAAAAAAATGTCATCATACAGTTTGACGTAACTATTCTTGCAATACACAAAAGCATAATT